ACACCTACATATATTCACATGTATGTACGTACGCACGTGCGCACGAACGAACGAACTCACATACACACATACCTACACACATACATACACACATACAGACATGCATGTATGCAAGCGTACATACAATACATACGTACGCACGATGTTACCGATTCGCTTCGCGTCGCCTTTGCAATCCTGCTCACACGACGCCAGCGAGTCGCGCCGCGACTGGTAGTCGCCAGCATCGCGGTGTGTTTCAGCAATGGGGCCCATGGGGCACGCAGGGCTGATAGGACCCATGGGCTCCTCCTTGGTCAGGGGCATGACAGGCTTTCCGCCGCCATTTGGGATCAATAGCTCTTTGGGCGGATGTGGAAGAGGGGTACTTCGGGCAGCGCGGTTCTGGGGATCATGAGGTTCCGTGAGCCCGCAGCCGTATGTGAGTTCAGAGGTTTCTTATTCGGTTTGATGGATTCATTTGGCGTGGAGGCTCGTATGGTCCTTGGCCTCACAGAACCCATTGGCGCTTGGGCCCCATAGAGCGGGTCGGCTCATAGGTTTGTGAGGTTCATGGGACTCGGAAGGGTCATTGTGCGAATTGGGCCCAGGAGGCTCATAGGGTTCAGAGCGTGTCGTCGGGGTCATAAGGTTCATAGGGCCGACGGGGCTTATTGGGATCTTGAGGCTCTTAGGGGTCGCGGGGGCGGTGGGGCCCATTAGGCTGATAGAGCTCATAGGGTTTGTAGGCCTTATGAGGCCCATAAGCGACATAGGGCTCACTGGGCCTGTAGTGTTCGTAGGGCTCGTCGGGCTCATTGGTCTCGTAGGGCTCATGGGGCCCATAGAGAACGTGGGGCTCACAGAGCTCACAGGGCTCACAGGGCGGGAAATCTACTGTTGACCGAGGAGGAGGGGGAGGAGGAGGAGGGATGGGGGAGGAGGAGGAGGAGGAGGAGGAGGAGGAGGAGGAGGCTTTGAAGGCACTGCTAAGATGAAATCTTGATCCCGAGACGCAGACAAGGAACAGGGAGTATACCTCGTCGCCCGTGACCTGCTCACCCGAGACGGCGTGGTGCGTAGGGTGGCTGGGCCCCTGAGCCTTCACCAGCATTACAGGTGTCTCGCCAGGCAACCACAGCAAACCCTGACGACTCAAGACATGTGCAACTGGGTTTGTCCCCAAGGGTGAGTGGGCAGAAGGCCCCATGATTATGTACGGACCGCATGGTCCCACCTCTCAAACAAATGCACACTCCCCCCGCCTGGTCCCCATCTCCAGTACAAAGGGCGCAGAAATCTCACATGCCGCAAGGCAAAATGCCAAAAACGGCCAAGCAGCGGACGCTAAAACATTGAGCCGGTGTCTCGTCTCCTTGCCTGCCGCGATGGGCAGCCCTGACAGCGTGCCCTCGAGGTAAGGAAAAGCCGAGTGCCAGGATACGGCCCCCGGCCCCCCCACGGGAGGGGAACAGGAGGAGGAGGAGGAGGAATGAGGGGGAGGAGGAGAAGAGGAGGAGGAGGAGAGGAGGAGGAGGAGGAGGAGGAGGAAGGGAGGAGGGAGAGGACAAGGGAGTGTGGGACTTTAGCGGGGCTCATCGGGCTCGTAGGGCGCATGGGGCACATGGGGCTCGTAGGTCCCATGGGGCTAAGGAGGCTGGTAGGACCCATTGGGGTTTTGGGGGCCATAGGGCCCATATGGCCAATAGGGCTCGTGGGGCTCATTTGGGCTCGTAGGGCGTAGGGGGCCTCGTAGGGCTCGTAGGCCTCATGAGGGCTCATGGAGCTCGTCAGAGGATAGTTGTTGTTCCGCTTGACTGGCGAGTTTGTTGCCACGAGGAACGGCATGGAAGCACAGCAGGCGGAGGGGAGAGAGAGAGAGAGGGGAGATGGGAGAGGGGAGAGGAAGAGGTGGTCATAGGGTTTGTAGGTCACGTAGGGTTCAGGAACTAATCTAGCTCATGGGCTCGTAGGGATCGAATGGCCCGTGGAGCTCATGGCAGAGGTGTCGCGGGAGTTTCTTGGAGGTCATATGGGGTTCATCGGACTCATAGGGTTTGTAGGGGTGACAGGATTGGGAAGGGTCGTAAGGATCATGAGCTGATAAGGATGATGGGGCTCGTCAGGGTTAGAAGGCGTATGAGGTGTTGAGGAGCATCGGGTCGCACGGCGCACTGGGCTCATGAGCGTACGTGTTGGGCAGATGATGCTGATAAGGGGCTTTGAGGGCTCGTAGCGCTGACAGGCGCTGTGGGGTTCACAGAGCTCGAAGGGCTCGTACGGTTGTCGAGCTCATCGGTGTCGTAGGGCTCAGGGGATCATTGGGCTCATGGGCCCGCAACGCTCATGGCCCTCAGAGGGCTTTGGTGAGAGGCGTCTCGGGGGCGTTTTGGAGGGCGCATAGGGATCGTAGGCCCCATAGGGCACGAAGGGCTCGACCAGCCCACATCGCTCTGAACCCGTCTTGCGGGGCCTCGTGGGCAGGTTCGCAGCATTCTTGGGCCGTCTCGGGTCCTCCTTGAAAGCCAATTGCGCCGCTCGTGCACTGCGTGAGGGCGGGAGATCGCGCGCTCAGGGTTTGGGAGCGTATTGGTGTTTAGACTTTGGCACGAGTGTGAGAACAAAACGCAACCTAGCGAACAATTCATGAATGTGGCCTTTCAGGTCCTTCGTGGGAATCCTTTTGGAACTCTTCAGGGCCGTCTGGCGGCCTTCCTGAGCCGTCCTGGGACCTTCTAGGGCCGCCTTGGAGCTTTCCCGGGGCCTTCTTGGGCCCTTTTGGGGGCCTCCCGTGGCTTTCTTGGGTTTCTCGGACTCTCTGGGGCCCGTTTTGGGCCGTCTTCGGGGCTTTTGGGCCGTCCTCGGGCCGTTCTGTTGGATTTTTGGGCCGCCCTGGGGCTATCTCTGGGATCTCTTGAGCCGCCTTGGACGCCGTGGAGACCAAGGATGCGAATCTGTTGAACATGTACGTTCTCCGGGGGGCCTGGGACGAGTTTTGCGTCTTGGGAGCTTTTTGGTTCGCTTTGAAGCCACCGTGGGCCCTCTTCGGGCGCTCATGGGCCGTCCTAGAGCGGCCTCGGGCTGTCTCGGGGCTCCGCGGGACCGTCCGGGAAGCGATCCTGGGCCCGCTCGGGCGGCGTAGGATGGTCCAGAGGGCTCCCGAAGCCGAAAATGCGAATGTCACGTTGGTGGGAGCGCCCAGATCCGAATGTATGTACAGGGGGGGGGGCGTCCGTACGGGAGAGGGGGGTCCTCGTAACAATGTTCGAGAGGGGGTGTGCGCAGGAGGCATATTGTGAAGCAGGCATCTTGCACCACGCGCCTTGCACCTGGCAGATAACACCACGTCTTTTGGTCCCGTAGATTCGAACATACGCAATTGGGCACCGATGGAGAGGGGAATGGGGGGACACGGAGGGGGGAAGGGCGAAGGATTGAAGCTCCCAGGACGTAGGATTGAGGAGGAGAGATGGGAAGGAGGTGAAAGAGAGAGTAGGGAGGACGGAGCGGTAGGGGGGGCAGGAGAGTAGGGAGTTGGCAGCGGAGGATGGATGGGGAGGATGTGGAGAAGGGGGGGAAGGAGGAGGGGGAGGTAGCAGGGAGGGACCTAGACCCCCGACGCCGTGTTTTTTTCAGAGCGCTGAGGCCCGGAGGTGTAAGCCCCGCGCCCAGAAGCGGCCTTTCATCTCGAGGAAGTGCTTTTTGTTGCCCCGGGCCCGGCAAGGGCACCCAGCGGCCGCAAACGGCCGAGTTGAGCGCAACGCCGCATGCTTGCTCAAGACGCGAGGGGGGCTTTGGGGGCAGGGAGCGTGAGGGATGCTCGGCGGCGAGCGAGGGGGGGAAGTTCGAGGTTCGAGGTTTTCGGGCGCTTTCGGCGGCTCTCGGCGGTTTTCTAGCCTCGGGGTGCTTGCCAGCAGCTGCGCCTCGCCGAGGAAGTCCCGGTGGTGCCCGGATTGTCCCGAACGGCCGCTGGAGACCGGAGTTTTGACCCACAATCCAAATTCAGCGGCGCGCCCATCGACTACACGTAAGAGTGACCCATCGCCGGAGTGACCTTTGGTGCTGGCCCAAAGGGGGTCGGGTGATTTTTCTCGTGGAATGAGCTCGACCTCGCGTCGGCACTCGCATCGCGCGATTACGCTCGCATCTGAGCGCGCCAGGTTTTGGCCAACCCCTTGCAATCGACAGCAATGCATACGCGTCGCACCCTACAGCTTGCATTGGTTACCCGTGGGGGGGGGCCGTCCACCAGGCGGCGCGTTTTCCAGTCCAGGACCAGTCCCGAATTCCAGCCCAAATCCGCAAACGTTTTGCTTGAATATCTTTGGGTATATTTGGATGTCTTTCAATATCTTTGAATATATGTGAATACATGCGCTTGGGATCTTTACTTCGAAACGTTATCCACAGATATTCAAACATATTCCTCGCTCTCGGATGGGGCCGGTTTTGGCCATGACGCCGGGCATGGCCAGACGTCATCGCGATGCAGCCCGGCAGTGCCAGACCTCCCCGCGATGGCCCCCGGCAGCGTCTGCTTTTACAACGCCTTCGAAGTGCCATGCGGGGTGCTCGACTTATAAATCGGCGGACTTCCGCGGTCGCCCGCAGGCACAACAAATCGTTCGGGTGGCGCCCCGCCGATCGTTGATGCGGCGCGGCAACGCCGGCTTGCGCGATTGCGCCGGGCCCCCACGGGCGCCCCTGAAGCCGCGCACCAAAGGTCACTTTAGCCCAGGGTCACTCCTGCGCGTAGTCGAGCCCAGGGGGGGAAGTGAGAAGGAGAAGGCCTTTTCAAAAAGCGGCGGGGCTTCTCGGAAGCCCTCGCGCCTTCTGAGAAGTGCTCCGTGTCGTCTGGGAGAGAATGTCTCAGAAGGCCGCGCGATTTCCGCGACTTTTGATAAGGCCCGCCCCTTCTCACTTCCCCGCCACGCTCGCCGCCGAGATGAGGGGCAGGAGGAGCATCAGCACCAGCAGCTAGCGGGGTGCGTTTGCAGGGAACCCGCCGCCAAGCCCGGAAGGCCCGGCAGCCCCGGCCCGGGCGGTGTGGGCAATTTGCCGCCCGCGGCGCAGGCGGGTTGGTCGTCGCCGCCGCCGTCGACCGTCCGCCGCTCGCCGCCGCCGCTCGCCGTCGCCGCCGCCGCTCGCCGTCGTCGTCGCCGTTCGTCGTCGTCGTCGTCGTCGTCGTCGTGGTCGTCGTCGTCGTCGTCGTCGTCGTCGTCGTCGTCGTCGTCGTCGTCGTCGTCGTCGTCCGTCGCCGCTTGCCGCCGCCGCCATCGCTCTTCGCCACCGCCACCGTCGCAGTCCGTCCTCGTCGCCGCCGTCGCAGTCGTCGTTGTTGTCTTTCTAGCCGTAACCGTGTCAGCTCGAGCCATTCTGTCGTATGCCAGGCGGTTGTGAGGCGTCAGAATCTCGAACCGTTCGCTCATTGATGGTGTTTGCCATCTGGAAATCCTTGTATCGGCTGAGCGGAGGTCTTGCGATCCGATTCCATGGCAGTTGTGGCGATCGATCAATTCCTAACGTCTCGCAGCCGTTTTTTGTTGTCGCTGCCCGTTCGCTGCCCGCGTTCGGCTTCGGCTTTTGGTCCTGTATAATTTAGGTCGCAACTCTCGGCTAGCGGCTGCCGCCTCGCTTGCAATTTTCGGCCGCTCGCCCGCTGTCGTGCCTGGCCTCGGTCCTGGCCGTATTTCAGGCCCTCGTACGATTCTACGACGCCGCGCGGCTCTCCCGCTTGTGGTTGCGAACAAAGAAGTATGCCCACCAGCAAGGACGAGGAGGAGGAGGAGGAGGAGAACGCCTCTTGGAGCCCTCCTGGGGCTCTTTTGGAGGATTTGGGGGTCTTGGGGCTCTTTTGGTGGTTGTTTGTTGGGCAACTTGTGGCACTATTGGGGCTCTTTTGGGTGCCTCGTTTGAGCCCTGGAGGGCCTCTTGGGGCTATCGCGGAGGGCGTCGGTGAAAAACGAGGGGTCCTAATGTTTGGCCCCCCAACCCCGCTCCTCTTCTGGGGCCCTCGAAATCGCCCGTTGGGTCGCCGTTAGGGCGTTTTCGCGGCCACATTGGGGGCCTCAGGGGCTTATCTTGGGTTTTTTGAGCCATCTTGGGGCAACTTCGAGGCGTCAAAAGCGCATCGGAAGCGAGAAGGCGAGAAGGCACGAATGATTGATGTTCCTCCAGTGTATGATAGATTTGGTCATAATTATTAGGGTGTCCTGAAGGGGGGTTCCGAGAGGACTTGGATCCGTTTTGCGGTCTTCGTCAGGACTCTTTGAGACATGTCGAAAGCGATATTGAATCATCTTCGGCTGTCTTGAGCCGCCTTAGAGGCCATCTTGGAGCATCGGCGGCCCTCTTAGCGACATCTTGAACAATCGTGTACGCCCTGACTGATCGCGGCCCGCCCAACAAATCCTCGGGGAGGGGGGGGGAGGGTACCCCTCCCCGAAGGACATTGTTAGACCACGTCGGCCCAAAGGGGTGGTGCCACGTTCTGTGAATGGCTTCTGCGTCAGGAGTCGGCCGCGATCCGCGAGGAACTCAGCAATCCCAGAGTTTGCCCGCTCTTGCCAGACCTGGGTGGTTAAACTTGCAGACGTTTCCCGTACATCGTAGGCTGAATCCGCCGAGCGCGTGCCCTGTTGCCCCCGAGGGGAAACGATGGCGGACCCGGCCGGCGCAATCAGCCTCACCGGCAACGCGGGGGACAGTACATGAGAATTACATGCAATAGTGCGGGGGGATTGTGCTCTTCACGCTGCGGGCGCGGAGTTGCAGCCCGCCTGGATGCAGGAGCCTCCCGATCGCTGCATGGCCACATGGGAGCAGATGCCGCTCGCGGGCCCGATGGAAGTCCAGCCACCGCCTTGCAGAGGAGAGGGCCCCTGCTGGATTCCCTGGGTGATGATTGAGCCTCCACGGGCGAAGCCGTGCCTGGCGCACTTTGGTCTTAAGTCGGGCGTGTCCCCTTACAGGGGGATTTGCGACGAAAAATAAAAATAATCAAAATTAGCCTGGCGAAGAACCCAATCATATGCAGTTGTCAGTACCGCAGCTGCGGGTTTCATCTTCAGTGGAATTCCCCATAGGACCACGGAACGTGTGAGGGGTGTGCCGAGATGGGTGCCACTGGGGCATTCGGTGAAGCTTCCTATCGGGACATGAAACACGCGCGGGGCGTGCCGATATGGGTGGCGGAAGCGCATGTGAGGGCCGCCGCTGGGGCCTCCAGTGGAGCTCCCTATGGGTCCCCGAAACATGATGCTGCTGCGGGGGGGGTGCCGGGATGGGTGGTGGAGACGCATGTAAGCGCCACTGGGGCCTTCGGTGGAACTCCCTATGAGGCCACGAAGCGCGTGAGGGCTGTACTGGGATGTGTGGCGGGGACGCATGTGAGCGCCGCCACTGGGGCCTTCGGTGCAGCTCCCCATGGGGCCACGAGACGTGTGAGGGGTGTGCCGATTTGGGTGCGGGTGGTGACGCATGCGGGCGGTGCCACTGGGGCCTTCGGTGGAGCTCCCTGTGGGGCCACGAAACCTGTTGTTGTGAGGGGCGTGCCGGGATGGGTGGCGGGGACGCATGTGAGCGCGGCCGCTGGGGCCTTCGGTGGGGCTCCATATGGGGCAACGAAACGTGTGAGGGGTGTGCCGAATTGGGTGGGTGTGGGTGACTGGGGCCTCCAGTGGATGATGGGGCCACGAAACCTGTGAGGGATGTGCCGAAATGGGTGTGCGGGACGCATGCGCATGTGAGCGCCGCCACTGGGGCCTTCGGTGGAGTTCCCTATGGCGCAACGAAACGTGTGAGGGGTGTGCCGAATTGGGTGCGGGACGCATGCGGGCGACAGCACTGGAACCTTCGGCGGAGCTCCTTATAGGGGCCACGAAACGTGTGAGGGGTGTGCCGAATTGGGTGTACGGGGCGCATGCGGACGGCAGCACTGGGGCCTTCGGTGGAGCTCCTTATGGGGCCACGAAACGTGTGAGGGGTGTGCCGAATTGGGTGTGCGGGACGCATGCGGGCGGCAGCACTGGGGCCGTCGGAGGAGCTCCATATTCGCCCACGAAACGTGTGAGGGGTGTGCCGAAATGGGTGTGCGGGACGCATGCGGACGGCAGCACTGGGGCCTTCGGTGGAGCTCCCTTGGGGCCACGAAACGTGTGAGGGGTGTGCCGAAATGGGTGTGCGGGACGCATGCGGACGGCAGCACTGGGGCCTTCGGTGGAGCTCCCTGTGGGGCCACGAAACGTGTGAGGGGTGTGCCGAAATGGGTGTGCGGGACGCATGCGGACGGCAGCCATGGGGCCTTCGGTGGAGCTCCCTATGGGGCCACGAAACGTGTGAGGGGTGTGCCGAAATGGGTGTGCGGGACGCATGCGGACGGCAGCACTGGGGCCTTCGGTGGAGCTCCCTGTGGGGCCACGAAACGTGTGAGGGGTGTGCCGAAATGGGTGTGCGACGCATTGGGTGTGCCATGACGCATGCGGCGGCAGCACTGCCTTCGGCGGAGGGGCCACGAAACGCATTGGTGTGCGTTGCGGGCGGCAGCCATGGGACCTTCGGCGGAGCTCCCTATGGGGCCACGAAACGTGTGAGGGTGTGCCGAATTGGGTGTGCGGGACGCATGGGGCCTTCGGTGTGGGCCACGAAACTCGAATTGGGCGTGCGGGACGCATGCGGACGGCAGCCATGGGGCCTTCGGCGGAGCTCCCTATGGGGCCACGAAACGTGTGAGGGGTGTGCCGAATTGGGTGTGCGGGACGCATGCGGGCGGCAGCACTGGGGCCTTCGGCGGAGCTCCCTATGGGGCCACGAAACGTGTGAGGGGTGTGCCGAATTGGGTGTGCGGGACGCATGCGGGCGGCAGCACTGGGGCCTTCGGCGGAGCTCCCTATGCGGCCACGAAACGTGTGAGGGGTGTGCCGAATTGGGTGTGCGTGACGCATGCGGGCGGCAGCACTGGGGCCTTCGGCGGGCCGAATTGGGTGTGCGTGACGCATGCGGGCGGCAGCACTGGGGCCTTCGGCGGAGCTCCCTATGGGGCCACGAAACGTGTGAGGGGTGTGCCGAAATGCAGGGAGGAGGAGGGGGAGGAGGAGAGGAGAGGAGAGGAAAACGCGGGGCGACGTCTCTTCAAAACGAGGACCCAACACCACAGGATGGTTGGGAAATATTCCAAAATGGCAAACAAAATACGTCCCCAGACTATTTTTGGACTATTTGTTGATTGTTTGTGAGGTATGTTTGATTTTTCGTCGAAAAGCCCCCTGTAGGGGGACAGGCCCGACTTAGCTTTGATCTCGCATGTGCCCGAAGCCCAGCCCTGGAGGCCCCAGGGCCGGGCCGCAGGCCACCATGGGCTCCCGAGGCCGCCCCCGAGGCTCACCTGAAGGCTGCCCCAGGACCCCCAAGATCGTTGGGTTGTCGGGATCCTTGCGCGGGAAAGATCCATATCCATACAGGCCTCGGAACAAATTAGCGAACATTCATGCCACATTCATCTGTCAACACTCATGCCACATTCATCCGTCAACGCTTCCCCATCCCCCCAATGTTCAAAGTTGGCGGTGGGTCTGATGAGATGCACTTCGGCCGCAGTGTCCCCCGCTCGTGCCAACATTGAGTTTTGGGGGAGGGGGAGTGTTCAATAATTGTTTCCCTCTACCGTATCCCGTGCGTCTTGCACTTTCTTGGAAGGGGCGCCACAAGGCCGAGGCGCACTGGATATGGATGAAGATCGAGCCTCAGGGGGTAAGTTTATCCGTATCCAGTGCGCCTCGGGTTTCTGTGAGAGAGAGCCCGGAACTCCATACTGCAGTGGATATGGACAGAAGTATTGCCCGCATTTTGTTGAAGGACTTCAACGTTCTCGCTCTTGTTTGTCTTCCGACGGCTCAGGACGGCCCAAGGGGTCCCCGAGATGCCCCTGGAGAGAGACTCAAAGAGGAGGGCTCCGGGAGCCCACCCCCTCCTCAAGACTGGCCCAGGGTTAAGTCGGGCCTGTCCCTCTACAGAAGGAATATTCGAAAATAATCCAAACATAGTCTGGGGGCGATTTTCTCATTATTCCCAACCAT